CAAAAAGAATAGGGAAAATTGAAAAACACATAAATATTTTAGTTTAAACTATTTGTAGCTGCTGATATCACATTTTGCCCATTCAGTAGCTGTTTCTCCCATTTACTGATTGTAAATCTGATATCTTCAACGTAGAAGGCAGCCATCTTCATACTCTACGCCACGAGAACCTCAAATTATACTATCTCAGAAGACAGTCATCTTCATTCTTGTCGGTCTTGAGAATCTCAAATCTCGCCATACAAATTCATCTTAGCAACACGATTCTAAACACGCCTTAATTTTAAATGAAATTACCTGCAAACACTTGGAATGTACTCTCTTTTTTGTATCAGTTTCCCAGACTACCATACACTTATTGACCTGTTCGCCTTGGGTAGGTATATGATATGTTCATTTTCTTCGCAGACTACCATACACTTATTGACCTGTTGACCTTGGGTAGGCATATGATATGTACATTTTCTTCATGAAAGTCAGTGACGGTGGTAGAACAGTATGCTAAGAGCAATATGTGAGAACGCAAGAAAAGGAATAATAATAAAGTACAGTAATAATAATAAAAAATAATAGAAAAGTACAGAACCAATTTTGTAATCTTAGAGTCCAAGACTTGATTCATCAACCCATTAGACAAGCTTGTGTGTCCTACTATTGTCGCTAAACAGAATACAGTCCAGAGAAATATAATGTGTATTCACTAAGGGGAGGAAAAAATATTTTTCCGTTCACTTAATTTGAATGCTGCGCTGTCGAGTGTATTGAAAATTATACGAGCAGACTTGAAGGCTGAAACACAAGCTCTCGAATATGGGCTCAACTAAAAGAACGTTAACAATATACGTGGACTTGTTATTCCCAATCAGCTGTCTATCACAGGCTCATTCATATCAAAATGTCCGTCATGTCACGTTTCTAACCAGGACAGCAAAGCAACCTCTTTTGTTGAGCAGAATATTACAGTGTACACTTCTTTTGGAAAACTAACAAGAAGGAACGCGTTTTGTGAAGTAATGAACTTCTGGCATACCAAGGAGGAACCGTCTCTAGTGCCAGTAGAAAGAAAAATTATTTGAAATGTCTGCATGTCTTACTCGTAATTAAACAACCAAGTAACCCCATGGAGTAGAATCATTTTTGAGAAGACAGACTAATTGTTGTTCAACTAGTGAAGAAATGTCGCGGCTTTTATGGAAACCAAACCTCATTACCATTTTGAACTCACCACACGTTCGTATTCTGAACATGATACATCCAGCTCACAATTTAATACCGTATATTTTAAGATCCATCTGAATACTATCCTCACATTTACGCCTAGGTCTTTTAGATTTCCCGACTAAAATCTTTAGGCACTTTGCCTTGCATTCTACTTGCAACACCACTATGATCCTCCTTGATTTAATTATCCAAATAATATTATATGAGGAGTACAATTTATGAAGTTCTACATTTAGTCCAACGAAAACAGAAAGATTTACTTCAAAAGTGTCCATAAATTACGTAATGTAGACGGCGATCTTTAATCGATCTCTACGAGTTTAATTGCCAATGATAACGCACCTGGATAAAGCTACAATATGTCCTATATTTAAAATAATTGAGCAAAATTAAAACAAATCTGCTACAGCGAATCAAAGTATTTAGAAATTTATGTGGTGACCGTAAATATGTAAAATTTGTCTCAAAATTATGTCTGCAGAATGTACAATAGAAATTTGGATTTGCTAAAGGGAAATCCAAAGATTGAATTGCCCTAAACAATTCCTTCATCAATAGACGCCGTCTAAAAATTTCCATGAAATTTCTTACACGTTGAAAAGTTTAAGTGCACCTTCTAGTCACAAACTTCATGCACGCACACCCGAAGGGGCGCAGCAAACCAAGCCACCCTCTGGCCCCCTCGCGGGCAGCCAGCGTGTCTGCGTTTCGGCACACGTGTTCGAACGAATACACGCACGCACTCGCTGAAAGTCGGGATTAAGCGATTAGCTTTAGAGTTTCTCCTTCGACAGTTCCCGAGATAAGAATTCGGCCCGGACTCCGGCAACATAATTTAGGTATGTAAGATTTGCGGTTTTCACAGCGGTGAGTATAAAGATTTCTGTCTTCTGGTTTGTTGCGCTGTGTAGTCTGGTCGATGTTTACAAACGTTTCAGAGGTCATACTGCCTCCGTCATCAGGGCGATGAGTATGAAGATTTCTATCTTCTGGGTTGTTGCGCTGTGTAGTCTGTTCTATGTTTACCAACGTTTCAGAGGTCATACTGCCTCCGTCATCAGGGCGATCGTAAAATAAACCAATAAACCAATATATATATATATATATATATATATATATATATATGTGTGTGTGTGTGTGTGTGTGTGTGTGTATTAATTTATATGTAGATCTATTGATTAACGGCAAACTGAAAAAAACTATTGTATTTATTCTACTTATATACTTATATATTCGAGTCTCTCTGACTAATGTTTAGGTGGCTTTCACTCTGATTGCTGAGGTCCAGCATTACAGTAATCATTTATATTACTGGTTAATTTCACACCCACTTCAGGTAGGTACTACGTGAGTCCACTACTGTAACCACGACCCAGTAAAACAAAGCCTTTCTTCTACATCCATTAAATGGGCCACAAATGCCTTGGGCGTTTGGTGTATCTGACGTGGTCGGATCGGATTCAACACAGCTCCAAGCAGTCATGTCGGACGAGAATCAAATGTCAATCTTCTGCTCTGACTTCTTTTCAGAAAGGATCGTCCCGCAACAGGGGCAATTTAAAATGCACAGGATTTCAATTGAAGACGCCATATACGGCACATCATCAACTTAACAGGCATTTATAATGGTGTAGGCCACTGGTATTCTACCAATACGGTATCAGTTAAAACGGAAGGCCCATTTAACTACAACGTTATCGAAACATTCATCAGTTTGATTTCTAAATCGTTTCAATAATATCATCTTCCTTTTGGTGCAATTATGTGGCAGAACAAAGCTCGGTTCACACCACCGAACACAAAAATTATTTGCTTACGTAAATGTTTATTTTGCTTTTGGAAAGGTGGCAACTAATTCAAAACAAATCCCATGTAGTTTATCATATAAGCTGGCAGTTGTTATATAATCTTGGAATGCAATGCGGATCTTGTAACTCTTAATATCTCACGGTCGCTTAATTAGTCAAGAAATTTGTCGTCTTTTAAAACCTGAAGTTCTATTGTATTCACAAAACACCGCCCCTGACACCTGAACTGAGCTACACGAATCATATTCGAATATTTTAAGATACGCTTAATATTTCCTCACATCTGCGTCTAGAACTCCCAATAGTATCTTCTGTTCAGAGTTTACAAATACAATGATATATGCACTTCCTAATGTTCATCATATGTCCGTGTTACATGCCCAGCTAATCTTATCCTGATTGATTTTGATCACCATGATAATTTCTGTTGAAGTGTATAAATTATTAAGCTCCACATTTTGAAATGTTAACTTCTTTCTGTTAATTCCTAAGATATTTTATTTGTTAGCGTATCTTTTCTATCGTCAGTTCCATTCAAATTCTTGATAGATGAAAAAGAATTTTGTTTTTAACACTTTTTTAATATTACAGCAAGCCAATGTTCCTTTGCCCTTCAGGAAGCGGGAATTCCTATACAAAATTATCTCATATATTCTCTGAAATATAAAATTATGCATACAAACAAAAGTGTTTTCACTTCAAAAACACTTTGTGCCAAACGCGTTTCGACCTCACGAGGTCATCATCAGTGGCGAAAACACATTAATTCATTAGTCTGTCTATTAAAATCATACAATTCATAAAACGATGGTTTGTTTTAAGCACCGAGCATAAAAACAGTCACATTTTATAAAACCATATTTCATGTAATACGACACTGAACTGAAATACACTATCAGTTAAAATGCGGTAGCTGCGAGCAGGTCTGTATTGGCCAAACCGGAAGGGAATTTAAAGCCAGATTTAAAAAGCATGTTAACGACATTGGATTCAATTTAACAAAATCAAAATACGCTCAACACATCCTCGACCACGGACACGAATACGGCCCCGTGGAGGATATCATGGACGTAATAAGAATAGCCCAAAAGACAAAATGTTTCACATTTTAGAAAAATTCCACATCTATAAAACTAGAAAAAAGCTAAACATCATAAATAAACAGAAACCCACGTCTCTAATGTCTTATTTGACCTGGTAGTAAACAGAAACAAGTTAAATGTAGTATGCAGTGGATGGCCACACTGGTTGGTCAGAATGATTATAAAGCCTGCACATTTTTTAAAAGTGACAGTAATACCCAAGCAACGTTGAAGTTCACAATTCATGCATAGAAACGCAACCAAGGCTCACCGTAGACCAACAACGAAAACCTCAACTTAGGCGAGTGGACATTAAGCTAAGTAACTCAGTTTAGATAATACACCAACTCATGTGCAATTAAAAGTTCAGTGTGGTATTACATGAAGTATGGTTTTATAAAGTGCGACCTTTTATGATCATTGCTTTATAACAAACCATGGTTTTATGAATTGTATGATTTTAATGGGGTCACAGTGGCCGCTCGGTCTGAGGCATGGGCCTTGGACGTTGGGACCGTGGGTTCGAATCCGACTCAAGCCATGGATGTTTGTCAGCGTTTCTCTGTGTTGTGCTGTCCTGTGTACAGGTAGAGGCCTTGCGACGGGCCGATCCCTCGTCCAAGGAGTCCTACCGAATGTCTATAGATCGAGCAAACGAAAAGTTGGGACCCGCAGTGCTCAGGCACTTGAAGAACGGGTCGATCCCAGTATCCCAGTATGATTTCAATATACAGATTAATGGGCTGAATTAATATGTTTTAATATAATTTTATCTACAGCTATATTAGGCCTATTATTAAATGAATTTGTTTCAGGAACTCATCTGGTTTGTTTCTCTGTGATTATGTAATGTATTCATACGTTCTGAGTAACTTTCGCCGAGCTTAAGGTTACGTGGTTGCAGTGTTGGCATTTGTGTTGTGAACCGGCCTCTGTCGCTCGTGACATGCAGAAGTAGAATCCCTTGTCTAGAAAGTCTCATCAGCTGTCATTCAGTCACAGTGCTGTCTTGGACTGGATAGATCAGACTTTACAAGGCTAGTTAACTGTTCTCGGACCACACAATGCAACTGTTGTTTATTCAATACATGCCGCTCATATAACTACAGTAACAACTCACCAATATCCCCCCAGCTGACTAAAGGGAGGTGAGTAATGTTATCCGATTATCGTTACAGATAGACCTATAGGATTACTGAAGTTTATCAGACAATGTACAACTTTTGTGCCTGACTATACAATTAAGTTAGTTTTGAATATGGCATAAAATATGTATTAGATTTTGTGCGGCTACGATAGTAAATCCTCGTTATGCTTTATTGTTATTTTATTCCAAATGCAGTTACTTGCTTTCGTCTGCGGAGAGATATATTTTATTTGTATGATTTTTAGAACAACAGCTTTCTTGTTAGTGCAATTAAGAAGATAGTAATTATAAACTGATGATGATGTTTCACAGTAATAAGTCTGAATGCGACGTCACTCAGTCGTCTCCAATTGCTTTATTCTTTTCGATTTTGCTAAACATAAAACAACGTCAAAGGTTGAAAAACCAATAGCGCAGTATGTCAAGATAGCAACGTCATATCAATGAGTATAAATCAGATATAAACAAACGAGTGATGAAAAGAACAGCAAGTCTAAAAAACTAGAAATTTAATCGAGAATCAAAATTATTCTTCCGCAAATTACAGGATATATGAAGAGGTTTAGAAAGTGTCATTCGCATACACTGCATTTTGTTCTGTGTGGTTCGTTTACAGCCCACAATTTAAACACTCCTCAGTACAGGTCTGACCTCCGACATTTCAATAAAGATGACTCTCCTCTTCAATGCTGAAACGTGCACCGAAAAATCCGAGAAAATATTTAAAATTATTCATTGTCAGGACTTTTCCATTGTCTGTTCTTTAAAACCCACGACGTTTCGGAGGTTGGTTCTGTCTCCGTCTTCAGGTGAGAGGTACCTACTCTGTTGGATCCCTTAGATAGAGCTAGTCTATGTAATTCATTACTGTTAGTGTCTTATGTCTAGTTGGTATTAATTTTTAAGTTATCTACTTGAGGTTATCTGTTGTGTTTAAATACTTGTATCCTTATGGTTTTATAATTTTATGAGTTGTTTTATTTTGAGTGTGGTGTGTTATTTTGTGTGATGTGTGTTGTTTTGTTGTGTCTCACTGTTTTGTTGTGTCTTATTGTAGCTCCACTGCCACCGGGTATAAACCCATTTGCAGTTAATAATAAATAATAATAATTCTCTAATTGTCTTATGTTAATTTTACGTTTCCAGACTCAACGCTTCGTGGAAAGTTCTCCGCGATTAATAGAGAAACCCCCTTGTAAACTCGTTTCAAAGTTGGCAGATAACTACGAAAATAAGTGAAACGGGTTCAGAGAGTGGGAGATGAAGTTTATGAAGACAAATCCTGCCACTAGATACGTCACAGCCCGTTCACCCAAAGTCCATGTCCCTCGCTCTCTTTTCCGTGTCTACTATCGCATTCTTTCCAGACTCTTCCTCCGGCTGTTCGCAAAGTTCATGATACCCTATACGGGCATTGTAACGAGGGGCGAAGGACTAACAAATTTACGGTCTGGTGGAACTTACCACGCGCAAGTCAGCGTCTCTCCCTCGCAGCTAAATCTTTTGGCCTTCGCCATACTCTTCGGCTAATCCATTGATGGCGACGAGCTGTACCTGCGAGATGAATGCTTACCGCCACGCAAAGAGAAAGGGCAGTTTGCACCATTTGTTACAACAACCATGTAAAATGGGAGCTAGCCAATCTTTGGTACAGACTGTGCTTTCGGCAGCTCTAACTTGGCCACGGAGTTGTGCTTTTGCAGAGAGAAAGTATTTTCTTTCCTCAGAATATTCAGTATTGGAGCAGTTGACAATGATGTTTGTTACACTGGACAAAAATACATTTTGTAACCGTGGAACAAAAATATATTACCCTCTCTCTGATTTGTATTGTAGTTAACAAACAAATATTTCACCATGCTGACCAGGTGAGCCCTTTAATTTTCGAGAATATGTAGTGGGAAAAATGCAGTCGGTTTTATTCCCTCGTTGCCCTACAATTTAGTGTACTTTTCTAGCATTTCTTTGTTACTGACAACAATCTACTTAATTGTAACGCCCTGTCCACTGTCTATGAAAGATTTATCAATATTAACACAACGTTAAAAATACTTTCTTATATTGTAATGTCACCTCACTAATGAGTTTAAATAAGGAGTAACTAAACTTATTTTGTAAATTTTTTAACCCAGCAGTATGTTTTACAGATATTTTTGTACTATTTGTGTTTTGCACATTTGTTTGTTAGTGTCATTTGTCATCTTTGTTTCATAGATTCGTACACTTGACCTCACGGCCACTTCACACACCAACTGGACCCGGTGGAATTAAGTAGCGTTACAGTTATTCCCTTCACAATTTCAAAAGTTTTAGGAATTTATCTCTTATTTTCTCATTGCCACTTGAAATATTGTGATTAATCCTTATATATTTATCAGTTATGGTTTCAGTAAAACATAAAAAAACATATTTGTCATGGAAACTTATGGGCGTTGTAAGTGGAAATCCTAATTACCATTTATTATAAAGACAATTCAACTCTTTTAAGATCATTTTCAAGGGAAACTGTGGTGAAAATTAACGTCCAAATAAACACGAGAGTGTTTGATAACGTCTGCAATTGATACAGAATATTTCAGGATTTTGGTGTAAAGGAGAATCCCATGACGTTAAATTTAAGCTGTAGGTCCTGTACACATAATACCAAACAAACATGTCCACCACCCTTCCTGCATTTCTGTTGGTTTTTGTATATCCTTTAGCAAATATAAAGTGTAACAAATCAAAGGCCTCTACACTGTCTTGATGTGATGCAGGATTATTGGATGAAGAAGAAAAATGGCAACCACGGAGATAGCTTGGCGTCTGACGGTCACTGCAAACAACGTATTTTATGTGCCGCTGAAGCCATTGAAGAGAGAACAGACCTGCACTAGCATTACAGGTCGACTACACCACACCAGAGATTTACGACACTTTTACGAGCGGTCCAGCCATCAGGTCTGCAAGGGAAAATGAGCCCTTCCACCTCTCCTCTCTTTCTGGGTTGCCTCCGACATGTAAATCATCCAGCCAATAGAGAATACCTCCCTGCTGCTCTGGCTTTTTCACGTACCGATTTCACACAAACCATGATAAACTCTGGTTTACCTCTCATCCCCTTTGATTGATTGTTTACTGCTGTTGCGTAATGCGCGACTTGTTAAACAGAATTTACTTTCTACAAGCAATTTTTAATATTTTAATTGCAGATTACAAGCTAAATTGTACTTATAACGTTAAATTATTTATTTCAAACCTTTCATTAATGCAGTCTTGCATAATGCTTCGGTTAAGTTAATCGTAAAATCAGTCTTATATCTGTTACGTTTAATAACTTCTTAACAGACACACGAATGATAGTGTTCTGCAAGAATTGACAAGAAAGGTACATGTAGGATTTCAGGTTTTCACTGCGGTGAGTCCGAAGATGGCTGACTTCAAGAAAGGTACACTCTTTGGAATAAATTGAAATTCCAAAGGCGTTTTATACGCGATCTCAACGGCGATATCAGCAGGACAACCCAGGAAACACCAAATGCAACAACAGTATCCAAGGTCTCCGCTGTTTTGCAGATCATTGTTGTAACAATGAGATCCAAGGTCACAATTGGATAAGAGACAAACATGAAAGGGCCCACTAGGTTAAATGTTCTTCGCATATGCGAACGCGTAAAGAACATGTAAAATCAAATCATTATTTTTATTACCTTAATTAATTTTTTTATTATTTAGGAAATGTACGCATAACGAAAAAATTCAGGCGTGCTGAATCTGTTGTTGTTCCTTCATTTTAAATTCGCGAATGCTAAGTTTGATGCTCTCTTAGAGATAGCGTAAAAGAGGCAGGGGTGACAAACAGCTGTAACACAAAATCTGAACAAAATCGGTTATCGAATAATGAGATGACACATAGAATTCCCTTTTGTTGTCAAACCATTAAGCTTATCTGGAGATTGTGCTGGGCATAAGCTTTGTGTTTTTCCTTTTTCTCTTAGAAGTCTGCCGACGTTTCAGAGGTGCACACTGCCACCAATATCAGGGAGATGAGACAACCGCGAGCAAGAGAAGATGGCGGAAAAACAGGAGGAGGTTGGAGCATGTTGAAAATTTGTCAGACCAAAAGATAAGGAGGGGATTAGACTCTTGAGACCGAGTATCATCGCCCTGATGATGGAGGCAGGAACCACCTCCAGAACGTCAACTTCTACGAGACTTCACAGCTTAATATCCCAGAATTTTGTCATTTTAAATTTCACTCCCTTCTCTCTTCTTCGAAGTATATCGAGATGAGCCAAAAAGAATTGTGCAGGCATAGGTCTTTGTGTAAAATGTCCACTGTTGTCCGATTTTAGACATAAAATGTATCGATATAATTTAGTAAAACTCTAATATTAAATTTAATTAAATTTCCTTTTGCGATTTCTTGGGTTATTACTTGTTGGCAGGCGGACAAACATGGAGAAGCTTCTTGGCACATTACTGCGACTACCTTGACATTGATTTATTTGGTATTTACAAGTCTTTTTACTATTCGGTGCCATGGCAACGATGGTACACTCAAACAAAGACGTGCTTTATCAGCTCTGTTTTTTTAACTTTGCTTTAGACTACGTCACCAGGAATGTCCAAGGAAACCAAAGATGGATTGGACTTACACAGGACACACCAGCTTATGGTCAATGCTATTAGTGTTAATTTGCCGGGTGAAACATATACATTATAAACAAAGACACAGAAGCTCTATTAAAATGCTAGTACGAAAGTGTGTAGAAGTTATATGCAATAAAATCTTCCGGGAGACAAGCCACGTCAATATCGAATCGTAGTCCAACATTTCAGTGACACTGTCTCCATCACCCTGATGATTGAGACAGAGTGTATCTCTGAAACGTTGGACTATGATTCCACATTGATGCGGCTAATCGCCTAGAAGATTATATTGGAAAACCACAAGTCTTATGCCTAGAAGTTTGTGTTTACATGTGAACAAACGCTTATGTATCGTCGCCAGACTACTGGACAAAATCGGTCTAGCTAACGTGACAAAGTTAAAATATTTAGAAACGAAGGCTACAAATTTAAATTGCATTAACTACGAAATTAATAAACTGAAAATTGAGATTTGCGTGTCGTGTTACTTCATACAGTAAATATCTGCGTATTTATCAGTAGATTTTTTTTTAGTAGTCTACAGCATTTCTGAGGTCTCTGTGGTTGTCAGTGATAGTTTGTAATTCCTTGCTTTAATTACATTTCTGGTTAGCTTTGGAAACTCAGAAAATAATAAAGTTAATTTGTGTTAAATCAATTACCAAGCAATGTTTCGTAAAATAAAAATATATATTGCATATATTGTTATATGCATGATGAGGTAACTGTCGAAAGAATTAGACTACAGGCCTATTCCAGGAGTTAAATACTTTAAAATGGTAGTTACAATGCAATAAAACAGCTGAGTTACTGTATTTTACTGGCATCGTGTTACGATTCAGAAACAGAAGAAATGAATATTTACAAAGTGCGAAAGGAAACTGGGAAGAGTGAAAAGAGGGAAAAATTCCGTGAATGGAATGGCTTTTCTGTGTGTTTATGGGCAGTCCCATGGCTACTTTCGGTAACTGCGCGTCGTGGCACTACCGGCTGCTGGATACTTTTTGAAGAGCCTCTTCCACCAGAAGTGTTCGTGTGTATTGGTGGACAGGGAAGAGAGTTGGATTACGAGAACGGCCCCGTTGAGACACAGCGAGGGAAAGACGAAGAGCGCTCTAGAATGGATTTTTTTTGTCGCTGCCAGAGTCGCATAGGAAAGCATATATAAGGATGAAAAGAAAAGAAAATTCTCTTTGAATGTGTGAGGTGGAGTTAGAAGTGTGATGGTTTGAACCCAGAGCTGCAATCAAATGGACATTTTTCCGTTCCTTCTTTTCCCTTACGACGAGTCAGACAGGAGGAAGGAGGAGGTCAAGTTAAGGGTCAGACCGGGTGTAAGGGTCAGAGCACTGCATGTCACGTCTTCAAGAGATTGCAAAACTGCCCTCTACCCACCATTGTCTGCAATTGCCTGTGTGGGCTTCACGGCCTCTGCGAGCTTTCGAATGGAGTTTCAAGAGGAAAGGTAGAGTGAGGCTGAAAAATGTACGATAGAGCTGATGGACCTGAGTTTGGTTGCGGCAGGGATGAGTGGGTGATCGATTTCGTTTCTGGAGGAAACATTTAAGTGGAAGAAATAATGAGGTGAACATATCAGCAATTACGGAGGTGAATAAATGTTAAATACATCAAATGATACATTACACAGTGTGTCCCATAAGTCCAACATCAGAGAAAACAATCATATAATTTTTAATTCTATAAAAAATAATTCATATTTTTCTATTTCTACAGGCCATAATATCTGCTGAATTTAACAGGCTGCATCCAGACCGCGAGCCAATGACACAGAGTTGTGTTAGCAGATTTGTTGCAAAGTTTAAGTAAACAGGATCCATAGAAGATAAATAACGCAGTGCGTCTTCAAGGAGATAAACTGATGAAAATTAGTCGTGTTGAACATTTGCGGCAGCGCATTATTGAGGGATGTAACACCATTACTCCTGACATCTTCCACCTTGTATTGTGACGCTTTTATTTTGCGGTTTCTTTAGTATTTTTCGTATGATGCTGGACTTATGGGACACTCTACACTATTACATTGCCTGAGGTAGGCCTATATTTGATATTAGCATGCACAGAATTTAAACTAATTATGATTACAGCCTGTTTCATAGTCTCCGTACAATTTGCAGTAGTTTTGATGGTCCATCCAAGTATGACAGTGTTATATATGTTAAGGACTTATTAGGGCTTACTGTTGTTTCTGTCTGCAGGTGTACTATCATTATACTTAGAAGTCCACAAGGCGTTTTAACCCAAATGATCAACAACGACAATTTCACAACCGTGAAGACCCCAAATCTAATAACCCAGATATTTTTAAAACTAGGGCAGTATAATAATCGCTACATCCAAGGTACAAAACGTGTAGAACGCATGGGGAGATTTTTGTGTACGTTTCTGTCATACAAACTTATGGGATTAGCCCCCGTATTACTTATTATACCTACTATGTGTAGAAGCGAGAAAGTGTTAAAATGGTTATAAAAGAAATATGATGTTTGGGTATAGATTAGATTCAACTAGATCCGGATATGGTCAGTGGCGGGTACATTTGATCCACCGGTTTCCATAAAAGACGTGAAATTCCTTCACTGGTTGAGTAGCAATCAGCTTCTGAAGAAAGATGCTCTGGAGATTTCGTTAATATGATAATAGTAGGAATAACTTATGTGGTTAGAATTTTTCTACATAAATTTCCTGGTTTAAAACATCTGTAAGAGACATTAGGTTTCAGTAGACCGAGAATTCCATATCTTAATTTGATTCTTACATGTATAGTGGTGTCAGAGATTTCTTATTAATGATTACTTTACAACTTAGCAGTAACTTTCAAATAAGACAAAACGTGCAATTTTCATGAGGCGAAATCTGATATTCGCCTCTGGTAGTTTAATTTAATCAGGCTACTAATAACATTGACGTTTTATAGGCTTAATTGAATACCTAATTGAACAAATGCCCATCACCAAGAACTGTGTCAGAATATGTTATTGGTCTTGACTATGCATGCATTTCAAATGCGAGCGTTTTATTTTAAAAAAAGTAAATACCATTCTGTTTAACCATAAGTAAATGGTTCTAACAGCACCTGTATTAGAACTGCTTGTATATTTTCATCGTATTGTCCACAAATGCTGGCTTAGCATAATCTAAACTGGCAATTCGTCATGAACCCTGTGCGAAAAATGGCCACTACACGAAAATAAATTGAATATGTTGTGTCTGCGAATGTTCATTTTGCTCTGGTCTCACGAACTCAAATAAATGAAAAGTAAATTGGTGGAAATGTGACAAAAATAAAAGAACATATTAGTTTTGAGATAAATTTAATGAAATTATTCATTCATATTCTTTCAGTAACAATTGGCTGGTTGGTTTAGAGGAGTTTCAGGATCCAACGTTATTTGTGCCTGAAAACAGTACAGTTCCATAGGTCACATTCCGGATTGTGGTAAAATTAGTTGCATTACGGCCCACATGCTAGGCTAACAGTGGCACTGGGTAAAAACATCAATAGTTTTTACACAAAAAACTGTATGCCGGAAAGTGATAAAATTTACCAGGTTGCAAAGGGGCCTGACAGCATTGCCTATAGCATTGAAATATTATTGCACTGAACATCTGTGGTAGAAGCTGATTGGAACACAACGTTTGTAAATTGGCCTAACAGCGACATTGAGAATAAAACCGCAAAAATCAATACTGTTCATAAAGCAAAAATAAATAAATAATTAAGAAACAATTGAAAAAGTAATTAAACTTATAAAAATATAGATACATTACAAGAAATTTTGTCAAAAGTATTTGAGTAGGCCTGTGTTGTTAACTGTCTTAATTTAATAAGCTATTTTTAATTTTAATATTTTTAATTTAGGGCATACAGAGGTTTTTTTCCAAGTATGGAATATATACTAAGTGTTAAATGGGCAGTGAGACTTCCTGTGATGAGGAATAGTAGTCCTTAGGTTTTTAATTTAAAAAGTTGAATCGTATAGAAGGACATTTTCCAGTAAATTAATATTGACTGACACGCAATGAATTATGCAAATACTTTTAGATTATATTTTTTTATATCGATCACATTGTTCTGTATCTTACAGTAAACACAATGGTGACTGGTTTCTAGAGAGCACATAGACACGTTTGTCATGTACAGTACTATGCTCAGTGAATCTTATCATGTTTTGTTTGTTTGTCATCAGTCTTTCGACTGGTTTGATGTGGTCCTCCATTTTCGCCTATCTTGCGCCAATCTCTTCATTTCCACATATTTTTTGCAGCCCACATCCTCAAAAATCTGCGCCACATATTCCAATCTTTGTATCCCCCTACAATTTTTCCCTTCAACTGTTCCTTCCAGTACCAAATTAACCAATCCTGTGTCCCACTCTTCTTCTCGTAAGATTTTTCCATAGACTTCTTCCTTCGCCTATCCTGTCTAAGACCAGCTCATTTCGTACTTTATCAGTCCACTATCTTACACCGAAAAAATCTTACAATTATTTTGTGCGAATGATTTGTTTTATTCACTATTTGTGTTTTGTGTTTTGTAATAACAGGTTGCGTTAATTAAGACGTCCATACAGTAATCGTTTAGAAGTGAGGTCGAGCTCAGACTATGACCGCCCATCAAGAATGAAGTAATGTTTCCGTTTTCAATACATTCACGCCCGCACATGTCGCGAAGGATCAGCGGAACACAGACCTACATTTGTCACTAACAGCTGTCCTTTCGAAAAATCCACATTCAAGAA